AATAAACAAAGAAGGAAAAACTGTACTTTACCTTGTTTTCGAGTATGTTGACACTGATCTCAAGAAATTCATTAGAAGCTTTCGTCAAGCTGGACAGAACATTCCACAGAATACTGTCAAGGTTTGGATTTTTGAAGCATTTGTTCTGTTTTTTTTTTACTCTCATGCGATAAGCCCCTTTAAGCTAAGAGAAACATGTTCTTGAATTGCAGTGCTTGATGTACCAGTTATGCAAAGGCATGGCTTTTTGCCATGGTCATGGAGTCTTGCACAGGTCAAAATCGTCTTTGTTTCGGGAGAAAAATGCCTTGAGATAACCCATTTAGATACAGATCACTAATCCTACTTCTCTTGGTTTCATTACAGGGATCTTAAGCCTCACAATCTCTTGATGGACCGGAAGACAATGACGCTCAAAATAGCAGATCTTGGATTAGCCAGAGCCTTCACTCTCCCAATGAAAAAGTACACACATGAGGTATTAGTCTATGTTGATGAAACATTAGTCTTGTTTCATTGTAGTGTTTTAAAATCCTATCATAGTTTGTCTGGAGTTATAACTCATGATGTTTTTACTCCCATGATTTCCTTTGCAACAGATTCTAACTCTATGGTATAGAGCTCCGGAAGTTCTTCTTGGAGCAACCCATTACTCAACTGCAGTGGATATGTGGTCTGTTGGCTGCATTTTTGGTACAAAATCTCTTACAATTTCACTGGTTTTAATTCAATGTCACTTAAGCAAGAACTAACAGTTTTGTTTCCTTCTGATTTGTAGCTGAACTAGTGACCAAGCAAGCAATCTTTGCGGGAGACTCTGAACTCCAACAGCTCCTCCGTATTTTCAGGTAAGTCTTTGTGTTCATCTTCACCTTTCTCTAACAGACGAACTTGACATTCGCTAACTTGGTTGTTCTGTTTCTTTCTTTTCTGTGAAATTCAGGTTGTTGGGAACACCAAACGAAGAAGTGTGGCCTGGAGTAAGCAAACTCAAGGACTGGCATGAATACCCGCAATGGAAACCGTTGAGTCTCTCCACAGCTGTGCCAAACCTCGACGAGGCCGGAGTTGATCTCTTATCTGTAAGTCCCCAGTGTCTAATACACCTCTCAGACCTTGCTTGATTAGTAGATAATCACTCAGCTGAGACTAATTTGCGTTTTTCTTTGTGCACAGAAAATGCTGGAGTACGAGCCAGCAAAACGAATCTCAGCAAAGAAAGCTATGGAGCATCCTTACTTCGATGATTTACCTGACAAGTCCTCTCTCTGAGGCTCTATTTACTCTGAGGCTCTATTTATGAACTCTCAGTGTAGGATATTTGTTCCATCTCTGTCTTTGCTTGTCTCAAGCATTTATCTGCTATCTTAGGATGATTAAAGTTTCAATATTCCCTTTTGATTGGGTCTCTATTCCCAATTGTATAACCTTCCAACATTTATAACAATGAAAGAATATGTCTATTGCTCTAATATTTCAAAGTAGCGAGATTTGCAAATGTTGCCCATTTGTGTATGTGTGTGTGAGTGTTCAGGCTACGAGCCACATGAAGAATGTTGGCCAGACAGTGAGAGAAACTGAAGCCAAGGCATAACTCCAGAAGAGAATCACAGAGCATTCGCTTTCTCCTGATCCGAATAGTTGAGTGATTGTACCTGCCAAAAGGTCAAGTGAGTTTATGAGAAAGACAGTGTGATGTGTTTTCTGGAAGTATTTTTGTGTCTGAAGAACGAACCAAGATTCATTGCCGGGGGAACGACATATTGAAGCAGAAGAACAAACTGGTAGAGCGGTTCGGATGTAACCAAACCCAAGTAATGCGCTCCTCGTACTATGAAAACGCCTAATATTGGCAGCAACAGATAACGCACAACCACCACACCCATTATGACTGACTTGTTCATTCCTGAACCTCTCAGACCTGTGATTATTGAAAGAGAGAACAGAAATTTAAGGTTTTGTCTTCAAGAAAGTTTTGCAGCTCTTTGTTAATGTTCATTTACCATTGAGAAGGTTTCCTCCTACAATGAGAGTCAGAACAGGAATCGCCCCATCCCTTCAAGAAATTAAGCTACTCAAGTAAGCATTGATGATTTATCACTAACAAGTGAGATTTCTAATATGTTGTAGAATACCCCAATAGAGATACAGAGTCCTCAATCACTCGAAGTGGAGCTGTGTTACCGACTAGTAGCTTCCGTAGTAAAGGATTTAACCCAACCGCAAGCGCGATAAGCTGAAGAGAAAGAGGATTAGTTGCTTAACTAGTAAGAACATACAGAAGCTAGCTAGCAGTCTTTTGGTTCAAGGGAACATTGAAACAAACCGCTGCAATGGTTGAAGGAGCAAATATTGTTCGTAGATTGATTTTCTCTGCTACAGAGCACACTCTTTGCTTGACCTTGCTCCAAGTCCCAACCTTTTCATATACATTCTCTCAAAAATCAGCAAAATGAAGCATCAAATGCTCACAAGAATATAAAAAGAAAAAGTTTAACTGAGACCTGCTCCTCCCCAGCTTCAACTTTGGGAGAAATCAGTGGCATTGTAGATGAGGTACTGTTTATTGCGGTTTCTCCACCAGGATTTGCTAGCATCCGCATAAGATTGTATACATAAGTCCATATGTAAATGGCTCCAATCTGATACACATCACAAAACGTTCTTGACTTGTACTGGCATTAAAAAAACCTTTAGTAGAGAACCATAAGAACTACTTAAGAAATGGCGACATACCGCCATAGAGAGTGCAATATAACCAAGTCCATATTTCTCACAAGACTCAGGATCTCCAAAAGGACTTCCCTTTTCATTACATATAGCTGGGATGATAATGAGCGGCATATTCCCCAAATTCCCTGTTGAATTACACAATCTCATCACTGAATCTAAGAAATTCATGAATGAAACAACTTTTATAAGAAATAAGATGATATTAAAGGTACCAGCAGCACAACAACCAACGATGATGCCACGTAGATGCGAAGGAGGTTTAGTGATTTTGATAACAATCCAACCAAGAAACGAACCAATGATGAATGTTAGCAAAACATTGAGTGGCATGAACCACCTGAAATTAGCCCCAACAAAAAAAGATTCAAAATCTTACATTTCATTTTCAAGAAGAATCAGTTCTCTGAATATATTAAAAAAAACTTACATTTTCACCATGCTTTCGTATGTAATAGTCTCAGATAAACTGCTTGCAACAAGTGAAGGACTAAACACATAGAAAACTATCTGTTTAAACAAAAACAAAACTCATAAGAGAATAATATAAATGAACCAAACTCGGTGAATGGTTATGTGACGATAAAAACTGACGTTGTTGAGTTGTTTTCTAGCATCTTGATTCAGAATGTTAACTTGATCTAGAGCCAAGTAAAATCCAATTCCTGTTATCAAGAGAATCTTTGCAACTGGTATCGATGAGGTTATGAACAGATCCAAAAGCCTCATCGTCATCTTCGCTTTCAATCTGATACCAACAAAACCAAAACAATATCTTCTATCTATGCACTCAAACATCGAGAAGAATAGAAATCAAATTACGAAAAATATTGAAATCGTGTTTTCAATTTGATAGATGGTTTCGTGATGATGATGATGACTTACGGAATTGAAACAACGGAGAATCGAGAGATCGATCGTTGTCTTCTCTGGTTTCTAGAGCTGAGAAACAGAGTATCAAACGTAAAATCCAAAAGAATGTTTAAGAAGATGAGAAACTTGGGAGTGGTAGTTGTGGTTCTCGCACACTTTGCTTTGCATGGCAATTCGGTTCTAGTTTTAGTAGTTAACTACCAAAATAAGGAAAACAATTATTCCACGGGACATTGAATCTATGATAGTAGAAATATTTTTAAAATCAATTTCGTTAATCTGTGTCCTTTTAGAAAAATTAAAATATATGTTCCTTACTTCTTTTATATATATACTTGGAGTATATATGTGTTGAAGACAGAATAACAGTAATATTATTTTTTAAAAGTAATTTCGTTTATTTTTTCATATTGCAACCTTTGGCGGGTTATAAAAACACTAGATGATAATCTTGTGGTTATATTTCCAGTATTATAGTGAATTATATATGCAGTTTTGCTGATTGTTACAAGGACATTGCTAGAGTTATGCAATAATATTCTACCATTTGGAGTGATAATGGCATGAAAGTGAATGATTCATCCCTTTTATTTTTTCTCCTAGTCCAGTAATTATTCATCTTTTTGACACTTCTATATATTCATTGTTTGATAAAGGTGCGGTCACACAAATTGACTTTGGCCACCAACAATATTTCCAGTGGATCAAGCTTCTCTGTTGTCTACGAGAATTGCAGCTTATCATCATCACATAATAGACAAATCTGTGTCACCTATTTCACTGTTTCAGAACCATTAGATTTTAAATTTTGATCCACAAAACAATACTTGAGTACTATTTTGATCATCAATCCGATGTTTACTACATACTGACTGCAACATCACCTTTACCGTTACTCGGAAAGCATCCTTCAGCGTTAAAGTCGGTCGCAAGTCCATGTAAACTTTCCCCTCTAAGAGTACTGGTTAAGCAGATATAGACGGAGCTTCACAATCAAAGGATCCAAGTCTTACCCTTACCCATTGGAGAGGTAAAGAAGCTTTGCCTTGTCTATCACAAAAAAATTACATATCATCCGTTTCTCCGAGAGCTTCCCGTTTCACAGATTTCCCCTGCAGAAAAGATGCCAAAAGCTGTAAAACGGGGAACTTGATGCAAGAAACTAACAAGCATACTGCCAAACACAAAACCTGCATCAAACTAGATTTTACCCATCATTTTACAGCCACCACGCGGTAATGCTCATTAGCAAACCCATCGAGGACATTGTATAAACATGACAAAGAAAAAGAGAATAAAATTAAAAAGAGGAAAAGAGTTGCGGGATAAGAAACAACAAGCATTATGAGACCATCTCTCTAATCACATCAAGTTCAAGTCTGTAAAGAGATTTAGCAAATTGTGCAAAGATTGTATTCCACAACATCAACCAATAATACTTGTTTAATAAAACTCTCAGTGATTTGAATCCCTTATAATCACACACCTCATGGTTGCTTTCCTGTTAAAAGACAGAAACTAAGATCCATAAGTCTGAACTTTGAGATTAAAAGACTTTCATAAGAAAGAAAATAGTCTGCATGCAAGGTTAAAGCAAAGCATTTAGCTTAAATTTACCACCAAAGATTGTAAATTGGACTAGAATTCTCGACTTACATTAAAGGACTGAGTATCTGCCGGTTGCTCCTCCAGGAAGTGACGACATGGCCTGATTTGTAATGTCTTCAAGAACACGCTTGAGTTCAACTTTTGCTTGCTTAACTGATTTTTCGCTAGGCCCTTCAATGAATAAGTACAGCTTCCGTTCCCCAGGTCCCGGTATACGTCCTGGAGGATAAAACTGACCCCTGGTGGTAATAGCGGCTCCAGTCCACTCTGATATAGGACCCAAAGTTTCTTTGTGGGTGACCTTCCAACGAGCATTTTGTGGGAAATCATTGATTTCAAGTTCTGCTTCATAGTGCTCAGGCATTGCATCCGCTTGAATCTTTGCCAGGTTATGTTGCAGATTCATGGCAGCAACCATGGCTGCAGCACGGCCTGCCCCTTCACTAGGAAGGGTAGGAACAGTAACCGGAAGGACACCTGGCATGGTGGCAAGCCCGCCACCATTTGGCAGCAATTGGTTAGCTGTCACAGGAGCACTCACTGGAGCAGCAGCAGCTTTGGCAGCAGCAGCAATGGCGGCTATCTGAGCAAAAGTAGCCTGCTGCTGTGAGATCTCACCACCACCTGCCTTTCTTACTACATCATTCTCATCTTCTGAGTCAGACTTGTCTTCCTCAAAGCCATACTCCTTTGCTTGTGCTTTCTTTGCTGCTTTTCTGACTTCTTCCTCCTCTTCGTTGAATTTAAAGCCACTACCACCATAGCCAGTTCCATGAGCTTGCTCAATACCCTGTTTCACTTTCGCCATGAAACCATCAGCAAGTGCTTTCAGATCATCAGGAACTGGCTGCTCAGAAAGTTCCAGGGCCTTGACTAAATCTGGTGCATATTTTGCATCATCCTCGGAGATAAATGTCACAGCACAGCCTTTACGCCCTGCCCTGCCTGTCCTGCCAACGCGATGCACATAATCTTCATAGTGGTTCGGCGCATCAAAGTTTACAACCAACTCAAGCTCTTTCACATCTAGACCCCTAGCCGCAACACTTGTGGCAATCAACAAATTGCAGACATTGCTCTTAAAATCAGATATAGTTGATTCACGATCAGTCTGATCCTTACCCCCGTGAAGAGACAGACAAGGGTAACTAGATTTAATCATATCCCTATACAAGGCATCACATTTTTCCTGCGACTGAACAAAAACCAGAATTTTCCCTTTCTCATACCATTCCCCAAGAAGTTCCAGAAGTCTAAAGAACCTATCACTCTCCGGTCTGACTTCAACTAACTGAGTTATATCCTTATTCACAACACTCCTTCCACCGACCTGTATTTCTACAGGCTTGTTCAAGACTTTACGTGCCAAAGTTTCAACTTGGCGTGGAAAAGTGGCAGAAAAAAAGCACAGTTTGACGTTCCGGTCGAATGTTCTGAATAATACGAGTAATTTGAGGCTCAAAACCCATGTCAAACATACGATCAGCTTCATCCATTACCAAAAATGTGACTCTTCGCAGATTAGTGATTTTCCCACTGCTTGTGCAAAGGATATCAATCATCCTGCCAGGAGTGCACACAACAATCTCAGTACCTCGTTTAAGTTCACTAATTTGCTGGGCAACTCCTGATCCTCCATACACAGGGACGCATCTTATACCCAATGGCTTAGAAAACTTTCTGATATCGCTGTGAATCTGCTGAACAAGCTCCCTAGTAGGTGCCATTACAAGCCCAATTGGCCCATCACCAGCTTCAACGGGAGGCTGATCTTTGATATGCCTCAGCATTGGCAAAACAAAACCAAGGGTTTTACCTGAACCGGTTTTTGCAACCCCAATGCAGTCTCGACCGCTCATGATGATTGGGAGTGCTTGTGTTTGAATAGGCATTGGCTTTTCATAATTAAGCTTCTTCATAGTATCCAAAATTTTGCTGGTTAGCCCAGTCTGGTGCCAAAACTTTATGGGTCTTGGAACATCCTTTCCATGAACTTTCAGCTCCAATTCCTTTCTGTAAGTGTTAACTTCTTCTTGTGTCATCCTAGAGATATCCTTCACTTCGATATAGAAGTTCTTCCGGAAAGGTTCATACTCTATTTTTGAGTGGTCAACAAGGGACAACTTCTCAGCTTTTGTCTTCTTTACTCTCTTCATGAACTCCTCATCGTCTTCGTCTAAACTTGGATCATCATCATTCTTTGGTTCTGAATAATCTGAATCAGAATCTTCACCTTGAATTATCCTACCAAGGGCCTTATTAAAACCTTTCTTTGGCTGGTCATCACTTTCCTTCCCATTCATTTTAGAATCCAAAATACCATCGTTCACTGCTGGGGGAGGAGCACCATTGCTAAGCTTCTCAACCTCAGGTAATACCATAGTATTCATAAAAGCATCTAAAGGATCAATTTCCTCTTCGTCTGCAGCTCCATCACCTCCACTCTCAGAGACAGTAGCAGCTGTCTCATTCTCCAAGTCTACCATCTTGGCATCTCCATCATTTTCAGGTTTAATCTCTTCATCAACATCCATTTCTGTTTCTGATTTTTCTTCCGGATGGACTTCTTCATCATCAGATTCTCCTTCAAGAGTCCAAGCCTTACCGGCCTTGGGCTCTTTACCATCCGCATCACCCTTACTTTCACTTTCAGCTTCCTCCTTCTTCCTCTTCAATTCTTGCCACTCCTGGACTCTTCTCCTTCGTTTTTCCACCTCCTCATCCAATTTCTTCTGCTCATCCTCTAGTTCTTCTTCTCGGGTTTTCTTCTCTTTCTTTTCACCATCCTCCTCGACACTCTTTCTCCTTGGACTATCTTCATGCCTGCTAGATCTGCCAACACTCTTTTCACGCTCTTTCTCCTTGCGTTCACCGCTCTCTTTTCTTCTACGTTTCAAGTCACGCTTGACATCATCATCACTCTCTTCATTGCCAACCTCCCTTGACCTTTCCCTCTCCCGGTTCCTCCTACTACCCCTTTCTTTCTCACGTTCTCTCCTATCCCTCTCTCCATCTTCCCGTTCCCGCCTTTCTCTTTCTTTAACTCTCTCTTTCTCCCGCTCTTCCCGTTCCCGTTCTCTCCTCTCTCTATCCTTCTCCCTTTCTCTTTCTTTCTCCTTCCTCTCCTCCCTCTCTCTATCTCTTTTCCGATCTTTCCCTCTATCTCTCTCATGTTCTCGATGCCCTCTCTCTTTCTCCTTCACTCTGCGTTTATCCCTCTCATCCTCTTCTTCATCATCATCCTCAGAATCACTACTCTTCCTTCTCTCAGACCGTCTCTTCACCCTCCGTCTCCGCTCCCTCTCCTTCTCCTTACGCTTCTCCCTCTCTTCATCATCATCTCTATCGTAATCATCTTCAGAATCACTACTCTTAACTCTCTCAGACCGTCTCTTCCGCCTATCCTTATCTCGACGCTTCTCTGAACCCTTATCCTTCTTCCGCTCCTTACTCCGATCACGATCTCGCCGACTCTCCTCCTCCACCACGTCCAAATCTTCGCTCCTATATTTGGATTTCTCTACCTCCATTCTCAAATTCAGCTCCGATAACACGAATCCGAATAGATAACCACGCAGATTCAATGGAAAATCAATGAAAATTCGCCCGCCCCGAATATCCACCACGAATTGCCTGATTCAGAATCAATGTGTGAGGAAAATGATCTCAGATTAATCGAACAGAAAGCAAACAAGGTTTAGAAGCTTACAGAGATATATCTTCGATGGAGAAGACGAAGCTAAGCGAAGAATCTAGAGTGAACAAGAACGTCGGAACCCTAAACGTCTGGAAATTGTGGAAAAGGTTTGCGAAAAAATCTGAGATGGCTTTTACCAAAAAAAAAAAAATCTGAGATGGCGGTTTTTCTTAATTATTTATGTTAATTAACAGAAATCAGCCGACCTGATTTGGATCCATATTAAGCCCATATTTTACATGACGATTTTGGTTTATCTTTTTGGACCTAAAGCCCAAAGTGAGATTTCAGCTTTTTATTATTTTATTTTTAATATAATTTTTCTCAAATATAATTTCGCAATTTTTCTTAGTAATATATTTCCTTATATATCCCATTTTAATTGAAAATCTCTTAAATATAGAAGAAAATATTTAAAAATAAATATTTTCCTAAGTATGTGAACTATACTTGGTATTTGGTAATATATGCAAATATAAATTTTCTTAGCCAGTCAAACAATTTACCACCACAACTTTGAAATTTTATTAGTTTCAAAGAGGAATAATAAAAATACTAAAAGAGATTTAAATTAATAAATATTTTGATTTTTTTTTTCTAAAAATATAAACCTAACATATGTATTGCAAAAGTACTGACTACTATAAAAAATTACTATTAGATACTAAACATAAAATAATATCTAATTGTCAAAAAAAATTGGTTGATAATGTTTATCACGTGATATTATCGAACATTTGTAAGTTTTCATTCATTTATGAAACTTTTTGAAAATGTTTACAAGTTTGGAAAATTTTCGGAAGCGTTTAGATCTTTTTACGTGTTTTACAAGCTTTTATATATTTTTACTTGTTTTGGAAACATTTACGTGTTTACAATATCTAAAATATTATTTATCTTATATTTAAACATCACTGTTTTAGAAAAATTTTATAAACTTTTAGATACTTTTACGTGAAAACTTTTATATATTTTTATGTGTTTTTGAAAATATTTACGTGTTTACAATGTCTAAATATAGTTTATCTTACATTTAAAAATTAATTTTTTGGAGATTTTCATATATATAATGCATTTTAAGTGTTCTTAAAATTGTTTACGTGATTACAACGTCTTAATATTGTTTATCTTATATTTAAAAGATCAATGTTTTGAAATTTTATATATGTTTTTAATATATTCGTGATCTTGAATTTTTTAATATATATTTACCCTGTAAAAATTATTGGTTATATCTTCATTAAGATGTTGTTTTCCACATCTTAACTCCAAACCATGAAACCTAAATTTTATTCCCAACATCATTTACTTTAACCATCATCTTGAACCTGGTTTGAACTTTGAAATGTAGAATTATTTCATAAACTTTAACCTAAACCTAAAATTTCATATAGCTCCTTTATTCTATATATGTATGTTAATCATTGCTGAAATGATGAACACAAATAACAATTCTTGGTATTACATTTTAACTGTTAAACTTTTTTCAATGTTTATCTTTGATTGTTATTGCATATAGTTGTCCCAATCAATATTCAACAAACAATAAAAGGAACAAAACCCAAATTTACCAAAAATTAACAAAATCTAAAATACTAATAAATACAAAAAGAAGGAAAAAAATTGTTTACTTTTTGAGTGAAAAAACAAAGTTGGCCAGTTAAAAACCACATCCATCCATCTTTTTTACTAATACCTTCCTCCCATTGACAAAAGATTTCTCTCCCCTTTCGAATTTGTCTCTCCTCTTTCAGCTCTTTCTCTCTGTATCTTCTTCTTCTTCTTCTTCTTCCAGTTTCTTTCAATTTCTCCGGCTGCTAAACCCTAGCGCGCCGCCGGAGGTCCTGCGTTCTTATCCCGTGCTTTCCTCGCCGTCGCCGTCGCTACAGAACTCGTAAGCGTATGTTTTTTTTTTGCTGCTCTCAAGCTTTTCGGTTTTCTCGGCTTGTTTATCTGTCGTAGTTTTGATTAGTCTGAGGTTTTGAAGTAATAGAGTGAGTGAGTGAGCTTTCTCCAATTCTTGATTGTGTTTAGTGAGAGAGAGAGAGAGAGAGAAGCTATAGTTTATAGGCGGAGAAGAAATACAATTCCTTTTTGTTATATCTGGAATCACCAATAGTCATTTAAAGTGTTTATCTTTTTCGTTTTATTTTTCCTGGATTTGTCTTCCTTTTGTATGACGGTGTCTTGCTGTGACTGACTACTCCAGAACAGAATTGAAGCATAAGATGGTGGATACCGAAATGCAAGAGCAAGATGTGACTTTTGGTGCTGAAGATGTCCTTGTTGAGACAAAGTATTTAGAGGATGAACCTTTGGAGCCTGAAAATTATCAGAACCCTAGTGAAATCCCTCAGCCCCTTGTTCTTGGAGATGGTCAGGCTAATAATGGTCATGGGATGAATGGTGGTGTTGCAGTTGTTGACCACTCTGAAAGGAAGACTCGTAAGGTGCAGATGTTGAGTCCTAAGACTGAAGTTGAAAATGCCAGAAAGCGGAAGACTTGGCTGCTGGATTCTGAGGTTAATAGACTGTGTTTCTTTATATTTGGCTCAAAAAGCTTGTGTTTTTTTGTACTCTCAGGATTGAATATCACTGTTTTGTGGTAAATATTATTGTGGTGATTGTTCACTTACTAGTTCACCTTTCTTTACAGGCACATGGAGTTGATGAAGCAGGGACACCAGTAGAACAAGTGACGTTTCTAAGAGAAGTGGAGGCCTTTTACAAGGAGAATTTCCTGGAATTTAAACCTCCTAAGTTTTATGGACAGCCTTTAAACATTCTCAAGTGAGTTGTTGAAAAAGTGTTGCTTTTGTTCTTAAATAAACCATATATCTGGTTATTCAGTGCCTGACTTTTGCATGCAATGTAGGCTATGGCGAGCAGTCATTAATCTAGGTGGCTATGAAGTGGTAATTATCCAAAACCATATCATTTTTAGTTCGCAGTTTATACGTCTTGGTTATTTAAGCTGGCTTGTATGAGTATCACCTACATTTTTATTGTTTGAATTGTGGATGACATATGAACTGTATAAGGTATAACTATTGAATCGGTAAGCTAATTGATGATAAGGGTATCTATAACCATGTGGCTTTCAGAGAAGATTTATGACTTTTAAGTGAATAATTAAGCAGGTGTATTAAAGAATGTTTGGTTGTTGGGAAACTGATTTATTTTACTGTTGTTAGCTATATTTGGGAGTATATATTCAATGTTTTCTTAATCTTCTGCTGAAATTGAATGTCTTAATGTCTTTAAGATTCCTTTGTTTTTTTCTTGGTAATGTAGGTCACCACAAATAAGCTGTGGCGGCAAGTTGGAGAATCCTTCCATCCTCCCAAGTATGGCTGATGTTTCCCTTAGACTCTCTGTTAGACTTTGCCAGTTTTTCATAATGCTAATCTTTTTCCACATTTGGTTAAACTATCTTTATTCAGGACATGCACAACAGTCTCCTACACATTCCGCAATTTCTACGAGAAGGTGAGTTTGTTTTTGTGCATAAGTATCATATATTTATCCTGTCTTCATTTTTACTTATCCACTTCAGACAGTTCTCCTTGTGCTTCTTCTTGGTATGGTATGTTATAATAGTTAGTTTGATTCTTTGTCTTGCCGAAGTATGGCCCTTTATTTTGGACTATTCTTTTGGCACTTTGAATGCACTGATTATTTTCTTTCTATCTTATCATATAGATATAGGTGCATTATGATCTATATCTTTGCTTCAATTGCAGGCACTTTTGGAGTACGAAAAGTGTTTAAGGAAAAATGGTGAGCTTAACCTTCCTGGTTCAACATTGCCTCTGTCTTCCAGCCTCGAGAAAGAGGTAAGAATTTCCCCTAAAAATGTGACTTTTATGGCTTTTGGAATTTAGACACTATTGAATATATGGAAAGACTGGTAAATATGGAAAGTTTGGATGAAGATCGATATAGCACCGTGAAAATTAAAGAAAAGTATCTACTTGTCAATCTATTGTGGGAAGGGTTCATGTATTGATAAAATGTTGTTGACACTGAAGAAATGATAGCTTAAAAGTTATTTTTCAGTATTTATCTGATGCAGATAGAACCTTCTGGAATGTATAATACCACCTAAACCCTTTAAACCCTACTATCTGCAATCTGACTGAATAAAGCTGTAGCCTTTTTGTGTCTGATACAAAAGCCATTAGAAATCCGTGTGCATAACCCTGTAGATTACCATATAAGTTCCAGAAAACCTAAAGAAAATTCATGTGCCTTTCTTTTTTCCCTTCTCCATATTTTTTTTCTTCCCTGATATAAGGACTTTGATGTAGGCAAGTAGCCATCAAGGTCCAGGGTCAGGCAGGGCACGAAGAGATTCTGCAGCTCGTGCTATGCAAGGTTGGCATGCGCAGCGCCTTGTTGGATCTGGAGAGGGTACTGCGCCAGTTGTTAAGGTTTCACTTCAAATCTTACTACACTTTGTGATTCCATTGTGCAGAAATTTTTCATGCACCAGGATGATGTTCTCCTTTTGTTTCAGGATAAGGGCTTAAACTCAACCCCAAAGCATAAGAAACTCAAAAGCATTGGTAAATATAATTCTCAAGGCTTTGCTATTTTGTCAATGTGGGTTGCTTAACATTATGTTTTAAACGTTTTTTTCAGGGCTGCAAAAACACAAACCACAAACTAGCATGGACCTTTTTGTTTCAAATGAAGCTGACAAACAGTTACGGAAAGCTTATCCTCTCCTGCTTACTTGCAATTCTAGATAGTTATATTAATTTTTTGTTTCGTCTTTCAATCCCACTTAGCAGTAATGAGATGAAAACAGAGCATTTTCTTGACTTGAACATATATTACTATAAATTAACGTTAAGGGTTCCTTTTTGTCGTGATAGGTCGGCTGCTGAGGTTGTTGATGTTGGACCCCTTGCTGACTGGGTGAAGATAAATGTCAAAGAAACTGTGAGTAACATCTGCCAACGGCTAAAGAAATGCCAAAAACTTGCAAACTGGATGCTTGTTTCCAGTATGGAATTCTTACCAAACCTGTTTTCTTTTTTCTTGAATTTACAGAAGGATTCCTTCGAGATATTTGCCTTGGTACCTGGACTTCTTCGCAAAGAGGTGAGCACTCCTTTGTAACCATGTCTCGGAAAAGCTACTTGATAAGTCTTTGTCTTTGAATTTTGTATGAATGCATATTACTGTGGCAATACATAGCAAGCACAAAGAAATTTGATAGGTTACCAAAGCAGTTCCGTAGACTATTTTTCCTTACGATATACTCATATAAACCTGAAGCAGCATAGATATTTGGAAGTTCTGACCTTTAGTTTCATAGTCTCAGTACACAGTGTTGTTGGCAATAAGTATTTTTTGGTAAAATCAATACTGAATTTCGATTATTGAACGTAAGTTGTCTTTTCTCAGGTTCGAATTCAATCAGATCCTGCGGGAAAGGTGGTTATAACAGGCCAGCCAGAGCAGCTTGACAATCCTTGGGGCATTACACCCTTCAAAAAGGTAAAAGTTTCTTCTATATTCCAGATGTCCATTAACTGATACAGAGACTGAGAGACCTGTGTATCGAACTGAGAACCTTCCTGTCATTTTGATATGATTTCACCAGATTGTTGACTTATCAGCAAGAATCGATCCGCTTAACACATCTGCGGTCATGAGCATGCATGGCCGGTTGTTCATACGAGTTCCGTTTGAGCAGTGATGGATGTCGAGAGTGAGCTGGTCATTTGTTCTTGGTTTCTTCTAGGAATTCATATGTTTCAGAACCAAATTGTTAGGCGGCTGAAGCAGTTTTGTAACTGTGATCTGAGTCTGAAGACTGAAGTTAGGAACATGCAAACAAACATTTGATCTTACTGTAAGATTTGTCTTTTGTAAAATTTGAGATTAGTAGGAGAAACTGCTCCAAATCTTAGTTTAAATCCATTTAGGATGCAACCAACAATGATGATTGAATGATATGCTTTTCTTATACATGTTTTTTTTATAGAGATGAATAGATTTGCCTATCCCATCTATCTATTAGTTCTAATAACTTTTAGGTTCTCATGCTTTTCGGTTTTTCAAAAAGTTCTCCTGAGATGATTTGTTTTCAAAAAGTGAAAGTGAAAGTATGCAAATATTGGTGGTGCTTATTATTAAAGGGAAAACAAAAACTTATTGACATTTCCCTGAATCTTAAAAGTTCATGATTGTCCCTTCGGGAACATATGATTAAGAAAAAAGAGAAAAAAGGTTCATTACTTGTTCTAATATATGTATCACTAGATCATCACCCGTACTGTAGTACGGGTTGAATTTCATTTATTACAAAATTTATAAATTTTATGTTTTAGAATAAAGTTGTGATATAATAGTAAGTGAAAAAATAATATTTTTTTGTCAGTCCCTATATATAATATTAGAATGAATATATTTTCCTTTTTCTATAGTATTCAATTATGGATATTTTTTTTTAAGATATGAAAACATAAAATAAGATTATTTTAAAAAAAAAATTAATATTGTTTGAACAATGAGTTAATTTATGTTAACAACCACAAAATGAGAGTGCATATAATTTAGTTAGATAAAAAATCAAAATATCATAAATGAATCGCATCTAAAACGTAGATTATTTTGAGTTACTTAAGAAAATTAGCTATTATTTTGAATTAATTTAGAAAATTATTTTTTCAAATTCTGATTCATTGGTTGTTAAAATAGAGATTTGTTTGAGCTAATTACGGAATTTACCAATTATTCACATAATCAAATATGTTATGAACATATATTTGGTATATAATAATACCAAATTCAATCCGTGTGTGGATTCTATATTTTCATTTTACAATCCGTATGAAAATATTGCGGCAAAATCTATTATTTATTACTTTCAAATTGCTTGCAGAATCAAATTTTCAAATATTTAGAAGTGTCAAACCTTATTTAACTCATCTCATCATAAAATCTTAAAATGCCACCTGTTATAAGGATCATAACTTTCTACCATATAATACATTACATTTAACCCGCCGCCTACTATAAATATTTTAAACATATCTTTTTAGAAAGGGAAATTGTTAAAAATACCCCTTTTGGTGTGCCCCTTTTCAAAAATGCCCCTTTTAGATGTCCATTTTCAAAAATGCCCCTTTTTAAATCTGAAATTTTTATAAAGTTTTATTAGGTTTATAAGGTACTTATGGATTGTAACTACTACTTGAAGACTCGATCCAAGTATTTATAAGGTTTTATAAGGTGTTTTTAAAGGTTTTACAAGTTATTTTAAAGGATTTTTAAGGTTTTTCAAAGGTTTTACAAGATATTTTAAAGGTTTTTAAAGGTATTTAAAATGCATTTATAAGGTATTTATAAAGTATTTATAAGATTTTAGATACATAGAAATGTAGTTTGTGTATGTTTTAATAATATTACATACATATTTGGGTAAATCTTATATTTTTAAGAGCATTTTTTATAAGGTTTTAAAAAAGGGGTATTTTTGAAAAGGGGTATTGAAAAAGGGGCATTTTTGTGAGTCTCCCTTTTAGAAAATCAAATTCATGTATTTATAATTTTTTTTATCTTTTTAATCTATTAAATATTTATGATATTCTTTAATATATTAAATTAAACTATTTTAAAATGTTCCAAATTAAAATCTTTAAATTTTTTTATTGTATTATGTAAAATTATGAATTTTAAAAAAAATGATATGAAATTAAATATAAATATTCAAATAGTTATAAGGATCATAACTCATTTCATCATATAATATATTATATTCAACCCGCCGCCTATTATAAATATTTGTTTCAAAAAATCAAATTAGAGTATTTATACTTCATAAATTTTTGATCTATTAAGTATTGATGATATTAAAAAAAAAGGAATATATTACTCAATTATGAATTTTTGACCCGTTAAATTTGTTCTTTCATACATTGAATAATTTATATTCGTTTTTAAAAATTTAAATCTTGGTATATGCGGAAAAAAATTTACTTTTTTTTTTATTATATAGATGATATAATGATTTATTTATTTATAGAAATAGAATCATATAAAGATGAGAGGTGAAGTATAATGATTAATAACAAATTAATATGGTAAGTTAGATATCAAATCTTATATGTTCATTTTGATTGGTCATTCTTTTTAAAGAAATTAATAATAGATTTTCGTTTTTATAATTAAATTAAATTAATTAAATTGCATAAAATAATATTTGACTTGTTTATCCTTAATGAGTTGAATTAATTTACTCTATAAAATTTTATTTCTAATGGCATTCTGAAGTAAATTCTTACAAATGGGAAGGTTAATTAAGGGTAATCCATAAATTGTACTCCCCAAATAATAGTATAGGATGACGAAAATTTAATTTACATAATTTTGAAGTCCACTCTAGTTTTAGACATCAGAAATATACTGCAGGATTATGACAGAAAACATTTGTTTGATCTAAATAATGTTCATTTTACATAAAATAGCAAAATTTGTTTTAATGGATTAGAAGATATTAATATATAAAAATATAATAATCACACACACATGTATACATACTCACACGTTTTATATAATTAACTCTAGTGTATGTGTTTGGAAAATTTGGATCTATAACCAACAAAAAAATATAAATTAAGAAACTAACCTATACAAAAAAATACAATGATATTAGCTGTATAAAGTATAATAATACAATTATGTCCTCACCACCATCACTACTCATCACCACCACCCCAGCCCAGAACCACCGCCGGACCTCCGTCGCCGGAACCACAACTGCCGGTCCTCCGGCGCCGGAACCACCATCGCCGGAGCTCCGTCGCCGGAATCACCACCGCCGGACTTTCGTCGCCGGCACCACCACCGCCGGAGCTTTGTCGCCGGAACCACCACCACCGGAACTCCGTCGCCGGAACCACCACCGCCGGACCTCTGTCGCTGGAACTACCACCATCGCCGGACCGGGACCTCCGCCGCCGGAATCGCGCCGGAACCACCATCGCCGAAATTACCACCACCACCATTGGTCATTTTCCATACCCTTGATGTTATTTACTTAATTGATACATATAATGTGCTATATTCTTAATATTTTAGTAGAAAAGTGTTATTCTTGCAAATGACCCTATGTGTTTTTTGTCTTTTTTTTTTTTTTTTTTTTGGGCAAATGTGTTATTGTCTTTAATCATGCAAAAAGTTCACAGTGATCAAAAAAGTTTAATTTTTTTCTTATTCTGAACTTGGTGTAGCTCAATTGCATGTAAGGCACATGACATGACCGCATGGGAATTTGATAATATCTACAACTGCAATGCTTGCTTTTTCTATCTACATGTTCCAAGCCCCAAAAAAGCCATATATATGCAAATAAAAACGATTTTTACTGAAAGACTCTAATCACTAAAATTTTAACTAAGAACTGTATATTATGGGATTAATCTGCAATTTGTTCCATAATAGTTAGTTGCCAAAAAAGAGATCTTTGATTGAACATTAGTTCTCATCTTACAACAGACTGATTCAATTAACAATAATCATTCACATAACATATACATCAAATTTTAGTAGCTCCACAAACCCAACTATCTTTTGGACTTTAACTTATGTATTGGTTATCTTTAATTTTAATTCGTTTTAGTATGTTTGTATAATTGTATCATTTAAATAACATTTTAACCTTCTCGTGAAAAATAAATAATACTACTACTTGCTTAAGCTTCTTTTTGTTCCTAGTCAATAAATTTGTCCCTAAAAATTGGAACATTCCTCTTTTTCACATATCTTGGTAATCAAAACCCCAATTTTGTTATGTTGCGGCAGAGACTAGCTCTTAACTGACACTACAAATGATTTATGTTCATTTTTAATCTTCCCAAGTTATAAGTTCACTAATTTGTATGTAACCGACGTACGTGAGATTACATTAATTTACTTCATGTTTCTACAGTGCTCTGTAACGGTTATCTTTAACCTTGACTAAAATCCCCAAAACAATACTACTATGCTCTAAAAATGGTTAAAGATCGATTTAATAGATGGAATGAAGATGTCTGAGGACATAAAATAAAAGAATAATCCCTCTCTTTTTTCTTTTTTTGCATAATGGCAGAAGCATATTTTTCTATGAATGAATTTGTTTATTTTTTAGCGGGATGCTAGATGACGATTATACCATTCGATTTAACGTAAGTGATTAGATTTTAGCAGAATATAGATTGAATTCTTCATTGCTATATTCTTAGACAATTATTTGCACTTTTCATGCCTTGTCCCCAATATCATTTTCTTGTTCCTTTTATCATTAAATATAGAAAAATCATATTTTGTAGTGGAAGAACACGAAAATAGTAATTGAACTGTTGGTTGAGAGTTGAGACACAGATTCTGGATACCAGCCAAAATTAAGGGGTTTGAAATCTCAAACCAAAAAACGAGGATTGTAACATGAACATGTGACCTACAAATATCGGTTTAAAGCTACTTGTTGCCAACTATTTGAATGGTGTTGGATTTGCAAGTTGCAACTCTCTTAGTAGAAAGGATCGAACTGGTCGCATTGAAGCATGCATATATATTTTATGCATCAAAATAACTCTAGTGGTCGAATGAACAACACTGACATGGCCACTCCAAGCATACATGCATGTAATATTTCTAAAACAGATTTTAGTCAACTGTTTAGACAGTAAATATTACTAGTTGCCATGATTTTTCTCTCCTATATGATAAGACGAGGTGAAAGAGATCGCTTAGACAGTCCTGTCTTAAATTGTTTAGATAATTCCACATTCAATATGATCTCAAACGGTACAAACGGCTAAAATTACGTTCTAAACAGTCAAATGATTAACTACAAAATATAGATGC